TTCGTACATATATTCCATCGTTCTCTTCTAGACATTGACTTTCCATTGAGCCCTTGGGATCAGCTCTTCTTTTTCACAGCAACCCTTTTTATAACAGAATTTAATATTGGCACTTTTCAGTCATTGATTTTTCTAGATGTTCTCTGTGTTTGTGGCTAGCACGCTGGAATGGGCATGTTTTACGCTGAAGTGCTTGATCATTGGGCTACTCCCTCTGGAGGCGGGCAGAGTTCCGTTAGCAGTGGGGAGCAGGGAAGATAGCACAGAAACCTTAATAGAAAAGCTTCCTTTTCCATTCAGTCTTTCTTTCATTGAAGTTATTTATCGAATTGGGCTCTTTCTTTGCGTAGAGCTTAGTCAAGTGGATCCCTGAGGACCTAGAGTTGTGAAAGAATCAAACTTTGAAAGCACTTTTAAGTTTTTCACATATTTGATGCCTAAATATGAGTGCCAATTGACCATCCTGTTTCCATATGTGAAGTTTGACTGCTCTTGAGATACATGTACTTAAAACTAGAAACTGCTTTTTATAACCAGCTTATCTTAGTGCCTGTTATTCCACCCAGTTTAAATTAGGGGATTTACAACAGTTTTGCTAGAAAGATGGGGCCATGGTCCACAGAGGGATGCTATATGGCAGAGTGCTTCCTTGCAGCATAACACTTGAACCCATCGCCAACCAGGGCTACTGGCAGCTGAGCCAAACTATAGTTGGAAATTGGGTTCGGTGCTAAATTGACACTTATAATTTCCTTCTTCGCTTGTCTTTGAGAAACTAAAGCTTAAATTTGCCACTGTCATTGACAAGGGTTATGGACAGCAGATATTAAGGTACAAGCATTATTTCTGCAAATTCACCTAAACTGCCAAGTGTTGTGTGCTTAGTCTCTTGCAGACCTCCAGCAGCGGGAGGAGGAGACCTATGCAGATGCTTGTGATGAATTCCTGGATCCCATCATGAGCACACTGATGTCTGACCCTGTGGTGCTGCCGTCGTCCAGAGTCACTGTGGATAGGTCCACCATTGCCAGGCATTTGCTCAGGTGTGCCGAGCCTCAAAACCAGCCACAGGAGCACAGATGTGCATCTGTTGGTTGTCATCTCTCCCCCAGAGAATTCCCACATACAATTCTGTGCACCCACTAGATGCCCCAGATAGTTGATTTGTGGACATAATCGAGATTATATCCCTTAGTGGGAAGTATTTAAGGAACCAAAACAAGACTTCATGTCAAGAAATGATAGTTCTAACCTTACCTGTTCTTCCTTTAAGATAATTTAAATAATTTCTGGCAACACACATTGTTACCTATACCTACGTAAACTTAACCAGCAATACATCTCTTTGATCTGGTAGTGCCCAGTGGTGGTGACCATGAATTTTTCTTAGCCTGCCTGCTCTTTAAGCAGTGTGCCCCAGGCACCTACAGTAAAGGCAAAGCTAGATGTAATCAGTGATAGCTTAGTACCACTTACTAAACTTACTGAGTGCAGGATTAGGTAGAGATGAGTATTGAGAGAATTTGCCTATCTAAAATTAATTAAATTTAAGTTGACCCAAATTTATGGAAATAGTGTTTTTTAAACACTGA